CAGAATTATATATTCTCAAAAACTTAAAATTTGAGGATATAAAATCAAACTTCTGAATAAATAAATAAATAAATAAATAAATAAATAAATAGTCACAATTCTCTTAGAATAAGTAATAGATTTAAAAACTTATATGATAGATATTAAAGAGCGTTTTTTTAAAGAAAAAATTGCAAAGTTATGAAAAAATATCAAAAATTATTAAAATAAAAAATCTTAAAAACAATTATAATCTTTTTTGAAACTAAATATATTTACAACAAAATATTTTGATTACAATAGAAAGTTTTATTGTTCTCTTAAAATTGTTTAAAGAACCTTCTAAAAAAAGTGAGAATTTTTAAAATTCCTACTAAAACCTGTACAATTTAACAATAAAATTCTTGAACTAAAAACAATTACCAATATATAGACAAAAAAATGGAAAAAAAGATTATATCACATAAATGTAGTTCTTTTAGTTCAAAGAAAATATATGTTGATTGAAAGTAAAATTAAATTCATTGGCTATAAAATAATCCAATTTAATCAATGAATCTAATTAGTTATAGTATTTTCTCAAATAATATTTAAATATTTATTACAGATTGTAAGAAAACTATACATAAAAAAATTAACGAAAATTCAAAAAAAGCATCAACACACTATAATTAAAATTATATGAATTATGATTATATTAGAAGTAATGTGCATATTGTGATTCTTTTTTTAAACTAAATGAAAAATTTTAAAAAGAAATTAGTTTCAAACATTTTGATTTACATCAATTTCAAAAATAATTGCAGGATACATATAACAAAGTGAGCTTTTTCTTATTTTTAATATCATTGTATCAAATTATATATAAATATATGTATGTATGTATGTATGTATGTATGTATATGATCAATAGCTTGAAATAATTATAAGTACATCAAATAAAAGCTGTAACGAACATGTTTCAAAAACCTTAAAATATAATTTTTTCATTTCTGATGACATAATATTTTTTTATGTAGACAAAATCGCAACTCAAAAATAAATTTCATGTATTACATATTATAAGTAATTTAAATGTACCAACACAATCAAATGGGTTATCATGTGACATTTTAAATTTCTAAAATTACAAATTTTTACTGTATTAATACCAAGACATAACAAATCAGGTATTATTAATACATTGTTTTGCTTTTATTAAATCATGGACAATCCTGAATATGTTATATATTAATGCATATATATATATATATATATATATATATATATATATAAAATTAAATTTTCGATAATTTAAAGTTTTTTAATTCTAATTAATGAACTTTAGTATATATTTTTATATGTGAATGTGTATTTGTATATATATATATATATATATATATATATATGTATATTAATGCATTAAAACATAATTTTTAGAAAATTCTAAAAACATAGTTGGTGCTTTTCATGGGGGGTTTTTTTTCTTTTTCTTCTTCTTTTTTTTTTTTTTTTTTTTTTTTTTTTCCCCCTCTCTCTTTTTTGTACATCATAACTTGTAATTTAATGGATATTAGCAATGAATTATGATTTTAAATTTGAATAGACATTTATTTTGATTAATATTGATGCATGGATTGAATAAGATAAATGAAAAAAACATAATATCTTACTTTTGTTGTAGTGTTAAGAAATATAATTACCAAAAAAACATCAAATTTGATTATTACGTTTTGATGAGTGTAGAATATTAAACTCAATCTTTGTAAAATAAAAAATGCATATTATATTAAAATTAAATAAAATAATGTATTGTTTTGTAGTCATAAGATTTATACATGTAACAATACTCAAATCAAAATTTTGTTTAATATTTATTTTCTAATGTTTTGTTACTTTCATATTAAAATATTATGTTGACTTACAGATTTTTCATAAGCAAAAACATGTACTTTTAATTTAGTTTTTTTTTTATATAATAAAATTTTAAACAATGTATAATAAAGTAAAATAAAAAATCTAAGATAGACTGATACATTAAAATATATATATGTACGTACGTCTCTGTACACACATTTTACTAAATATTTACTTCAATATTATTACTTATGTCTATTTATATTTTACAATTATGTTTATGTTTAATACAAATTGTAATACATAAAGCTTGCTGCTAAATAAATAGCAAGCAATGTTGAGGAAATCGTGTATTGTTTTATTCATGTACCTTATAATTAAACTTTTAACTATTTTAAAATTAACTTCTTATACATTTAGCCAATTTTATTACACAATAAAGCGTCATTAAATTTTGAATGAGTCTTCTTTTACATATTTTACAAGTCAATTTATGCTTTGTAGACTGTGAAACAAATCATCAAAATCTTGCACGACAAGTTGTATTCTTCTTGAGTTGAATGAATACAGGTGAGACTAAAGTTGTTTTTATTTTTCAAAAAATCTTTTGACTAATGTTTAAATAGAAACTTGTGAAGCTATGTGTAGATTAATGTACTATTTGAACTCGTAATTATTTTTATTTTATTTTGAATTTTATTGTGTTGAGTGTTTTGTTGTTTTTTCTTGTATTATAAATTCCCAAATTATAACTGCCTAATTTTTGTATAAATATTGTTTTATTTAATGTAGTAAAATCTGTACTGTAAAATGTTTCTAAATTTGACTTTAGAAAGTGTAACATATATCCTAAAATCTTCAATAATTCCCATATCTCCTGCAATTGATTTTTATTTTTTAAATTTTTATTTTTTAAATTTTGTAAGCACTTGGCATTCATTTAAAATGTCCATTTAACAATGGACATGCCCAAGATTGCTGGACAACACATGGATGATAAATGGATAATATATAGATGCCTTTTGGATGATACATTGCTGACACTTGGATGGTGGATGAATGAATGATAAATGACTTGGGCATGGAATCGGTGCCTCTGCCACGTAGACGCAACGAAGTTCCTCACTGTAAGCCATGTGTCAATCGCCCATTCACCAACACCTTATGGGCAAAGACAAGCAGGTGACGTGGTTTTGGAGGGAGTCTCCAAGCCAGCTGGCAAAACAATTCTCGGCTTTAGACCCCGAACACGAAGGTTGTGAAGCCCTTGTTTCAAAATGGGTCCTGAAGCTGCAGCCAATGGAGTTTGTCCAAGTGTCACTGCCAGATTCGCAGCGAGGATAGGTTTGCTTATCTCCTTTTCACACCGTGAAACAAAAAGCCTTTTTTGTTGAAATGCCTAAGTATCCATGAGGTTAATTGTGCCATCCCAGCCATTGAGGTTTATTTGCTCGTTTGGGGGTTGACTCTAATTCGCCCCCAAAATGTCATAAATCTACTATAATTGAATCTAGTATATTAAAACATTCGTTGGTTCTTTTGAATAGGCAGGAGGCATTAGTGACATTCGGAGTTGGGGAGGATGTTGAGTAATTTTTCTCAGAGGATATGCTATCTTATTCTATCCTGATCTGCTCTATCCTATGTTATGCAACTCCTTTTCCACACGCATTGAACCGACACCTACTAGCTATAAACCAAGTTGGCCTCATTCCTCATTCGCTTCACACTTTTTTCGAAAGGTCATCCTCCTCCATTTCCCATCCTGTCTTCTTAAATGCTTCCATTCAAAGGCTCCACGATTTTGCAATAGTTTTATTATATGTATGTATTCCCTAGGTTTTGTGTCTAAATGCGGTAGTAGGATATGAAAGGCTAACGTGATTTGATTTTGTTTTGTTCTATTATTATTACGAGACTGACTTAAATAAAAAGTAATCCACAAGGTCGCATTTAGAATGCAGAGTCTGAATTTAACTTTCTAGTGGATACAATCCGGTTAAAACCTGGTTTTCATTTCTGAAAATATCATACCTGAGTTGCATGATAAGATTACAACAGTTGACCAAGTAGACTTCCTTGCCATCATAACTATTAAAAGCATGGAATGTGAAAGTTTCTACAATTGCTGTGTTCTTAAACTAAATCAATGGCATAACATTGATTGATCTGAAAGAAATAGCAACAGCACGAGTAGGTTCTATTAGACCACAGAAGGGTTCAAGAACAGTCGGGTTCTTCCAGAATCCTTCAATCAAAATCTTACATTTCTTTACAAGTATCGGTGAATCGGAACTCAAACTCCCTGGACGTTTCATCCACAGAAATATACATAAAGCTATGGCACAGTGTATCAAGCCAAGCAAAGTCCAGGCAACGAAGTGATCTGAGTTCCCTCGCTTGCTTTTCGAGGTGAAGGATGTCTGCGCTGTTTGCGAGAAGGAAGTTTTCTATCTCTTAGGGAACATGAAACGAATCCAGTGGGATGGATGAGGGAGTTGATATATGAATGAAGAGCAACATGAAAGGGCTGGCCTGTGTGGACCGTCCTTCGAAAGTGCCCGCCGCAGGAGATTACGGCACAGCGAGAAGCGTCGTGGGATTGTGTTTCTAAATGTGGCCGCGGGTCATGCACCCCATTCTGCCCTTTGGCCCCGCTTGACCCACTCTCATGCCTTGGGGCCGGGTCGGGCCGGGTCGGGCCGGGCCGGAGAGGGCTATATACAGAACACCACGAACACTCCACCGAAAAAGCCGCGCTTCGCCCGTCTACACTCTCCCACACTCCCCTCCATCCCCGACTCCTGCCCTATCACGTCACAAACATCATTGCCAGCTCAGCTTAAGAGTGGGTTCAGGCAATGGGCCTTCTGTGAATCCCCTTGCACGGGGCTCCTTGAACATCCCACGCCGAACTTCTCGGGGAGCTCTGCCCGTTTCTGCCCGTCCCTGAATGTTCATCCTCCTAGCCAGCTCCGTCCGCATTCCCTCAAGGTCGCTTGCGCGCTTCATGAATGTCCAGAGACGGGCAGACACGGGCAGAGCTCTCCCAGAAGTTCGATGGACAAGCGCATGTCTGCACTCTTGAGCCATTAGTCGGGGAAAAGGACCGGCAATCTCCGCTTAACCGAGCTTTGGATTTGCCGGCGGGGGCTGAGACACCGCAAGTATCGTATCGTGTGTGGAGTTTACCAAGGCGGAGGCTGGGCTGAAAAAGTACGGAGGGAAGCTTTAAAGGGAGCTGTAAACTAAAGTTGCGAGCCTGGAGAGGAGGCGTTCATCATCATCATCAACACGCCACGACGAGAAAATGGAGTTGTTTGAGGGTAGTCTCGCGAGCTCGGCTGTGGCCATGGCTATGACGATGATCATACCCCTCGCTAGCTTCCCAGCTTCCAACCGCTGCCGTGTATCGAGGCTTTTGTGAGTGGTGGTTCTTGTCTAGGAGGAGGACATTTGGGGTGATGATTGTGTGGCGAGGAAGGGGACGATGAGCAGGCGTTCATCTGCCAACAGCTTTGGTTCTGGGTTTTGTTCGTTGGCGTGTGATGTTGTGGCGGCTCAATTAGGCATTGGAGTTTGTCGACGAGGAGCAGAGAGGGGTGAGAGGCGAGTGTTTTGGAGTGGACGAGTGGTGTGTGTGGGGTTTTGAGTCGTAGGGACGAGAGGGAGAGAGAGCGATTGAGAAAGGGACAGAGACAGAGACAGAGAGAGACTGGGACTTTTGAAGTACGAGGTACTTGACTTGGAGACGGAGACGGACACGAGAGGTTTGAGGTTTGGGGAAGGTGGCAGCGGAGGAGCGGGAATTCGTTCCATCGGAGTGTTTGTTTGGAGGTCAACATGTGTCAGAATTGGTGCAGTTGATGGAGGTTTGAGAGTTGGACCGAGTCAGGGGTTTCGAGCCGCAGAATTCGGATCGCTGTGGTGCGTAATCGGGTGTTGGCGTTTGCGTTGCGATGGTTTGGTGTCTGCGGGCGTGAGATTGGGCCGGGAGGAATCCGGGCGTTTGTTGGGGGTTAGTGGCATGTTGATGGGGGCTGAATGAAGTCGAGGTGATTACTGGATGGTGTAGAGCTCGTCGATGGAAGACATGAAGTCGTTCATAGGATTTGAAAAGTGAAGGGTACCGAGACCAAGGGCCTTAGAGGTTTGGAATCGAAGACGAGGATATGGTGGGCGTAGACGAGAGCTTTGGAGGCGAGTCTGGTTTTCATTCCGTCTACGTTGTGATATGGGCATGGGTATCGACAATGATGATGATGTTCTCTTTCTCGGCCTGTGCTTGGTACAGGCGACGCATGCAGCGTCGCAGAGAAGGTAGACTATCGGCCCCCTCTTAATAGCCCTGTGCTCAATTCTCTCCGCCCTTCATGCACTTTGCTGTTTGCGAGTTTCGTCAGTTCTCATGATCGGAGTTACCTGTCCACATCTTGGGCTGTATTCTCTCTCAATCTCTGGCTAGATAGATGTCTGTGTCAGTTGAGATGAGCATCATTCACTGCAGTCTTGTGTGCCTGGTAGGTAATACGTGAATGTAACTTTTTCTATTTCGACTTAGTTGATTAATATTATACATTGCATCCGCTCTCGTTTTCGTAGTATGCCTCGCTCTCGGGGTACTACACATGTTCTTGGAATATAAGAACCAAACTTGTTGCCTGGTAGGGTTTTTGCAACGCTACGCAGTCATGAATGCATGAGAATATCCTGCTTGGAACGAAAGCATTAGGCTGAGATTTCATGCCAGGCACAATCACGCTAATTGACTGGGGGGGTTCTTAGACGTTTACTAATTGTAAACTTTGGATTTTCTTCTATGTGCAATTGTTCCTAGTCACTGTCGTGTAGGTGTTTTTTTTTTTTTTTTTTTTTTTTTTTTTTTTTTTTTTGGTTTGTTTGTTTTTTTTGTAATGTCATTGGAGGATTCACAACCATTTATATGGTATACGACGCCAAGAAGTCTCGGAACTGTAGCGGTTGCTCCTGACCACATGCCAGTTTCTTGAAGTGACATGAATTACTGTTCTTCATTGCCGTTAAGTCTCTCTTCTTTCCAGTATTTTTTAATGTAGGCGCAGATAACTTTCTACACTCGATGCTTTAACGGTGTGGCCGCAGCGTACCTTGAAATGACTTAACTATCAACAGATCTTTTAGCGTACCCTCGCAGTGAATTGTAGAGCATTCAGTGACCAATTACTTCAAATTGAATCTTTCATAGGCCGCGTACTGGTGTTGGAGATTTGGTGTGGTTAGTTTGAGCCTTATTTGTTGTCTCCTTAGGTCTTTTGATCTTTCGAGTAGCATTTACAGGATGTATTTTTTGCTTCTTGGCTTGTTTCGAAAGATGGGAAGTGTTTGGTTTTGTTATCTCAAGCATTGTAATCTAATAATCTGAACTCGCTTATCGAATTTTCATGAGGGCAGTTTTTGCATTCCAGCAATATTTGCGCAAGAATGGTGTGTTCTCCGAGTTTTCTACATCTCAATTCGGCCTGGATAGGTTTACATGGCAAAATTATGGTGGTACGAGATCGCTATTGGCTTTGACAACTCCTCTGTTAGCTATTCCTATACTCTCGGGATTCCGTGAGGAAATTGCAATCGTCTTACAACTGTAGATGGTTTAAATGAACCTCCGGCGTAGTGATATGAACCAGACGTAAGTTGTGTAAATGCTCTAGGTGATTCTACCAAGGTGAAACTTCTCTGCTTCTGAAGTTTTAAGCTCGAAATTCATCTTGATGGCAGACTCTCCTGCCAATGTACTTTCCCCAGTCCCTTGAAGTTTTTCTTCTCTGCAATTTGAGTTTTATCACGCTAGACATTTCCTTGAATATGTTGTAAGCACGGCCTCAACATTCGTGAAAGGGTAGACAAACTGTTTTTTTAATCTTTGATTGTGATTTGCATTGTATCTTGAATTTATAAAATTTTAGGTGTTAACGCGTGAAACAATTCAACATACGTTTTGATATACCTGTTGATGTTTGCTCTACTTTGCCCTTTCTATTTACGATGAGTCAGTGAGTCCTCTGTCGGAGGTTCTATTTTGAGATTGACGCTTCTTGTCCCTCATTTGCTGCGAAGTGTTGTTGTGCATGAAGCAGAATATGTTGAAAGTATTTTGATATTAAGAGTTGTGTGCTCGTTTTGATTGCAGCTGGTGACTTAGCTGCGGCTATTCAGTTGTCTATGAATGATAATCAGTCACCAATCGTCGTCAATATACCCTCTGGCACCATACCTGCTCCAGTGGTCAGGATTGATGCCTCACGTGCTCAGGATGCCAGAGTCGCACCCGCAGCTGATGTGCCCAGCATCAAGTCCATACATGAGCTTAAGGATCGCTTAAGCATCGGATCACTATTCAAAATGAAGCGTGACTGGCTGGCCAGGTTAGGATCACTGCTCTAATCCTAATATGATGTGTTGATGCGAAACTTCAGCTTGATCAATAGTATCTGAAATGAGCGATATCTGGTATTTAGTCCTAATGTTTTGAACTGGGTCAGATTGAAGGTGAATTGTGGCTTCGAACGCATATGTTAGTTGAATTTTAGAAGAAGCAGCTAGCATCAGTATCTTAAACAAACTCACTTTAGCGGTTTGTTCATGAATACTACAGTTGAATTTAGATGCGCAGTCTTTCTTACAGTGGCTTAACTTTCCTAAAAGTCGTGCGATGCTTTGCTGCGCACGAGGTGATTTAGTTTAGTAATCCTCGTAGTACTTTCAAGATTATTGTTATTATTTTTAATCAGTTTTCTTACGTTTAAGTTGTCAGTGGTGAGTCCTTGATTAATTAGAATTTTATTTCTGATTGTTTCAGAGAGCTTTCGAAGGGCAAGGATGGTGGAAAGGGCGAGCCCTCTCCTGCGAGACATGAGCGGAGGCTTTTGCAGATTGTTGTGCGCAGAGACCAAGTTTTTCAAGACTCATACTTGCAGGTCACTCTTATGTTGCTTATTATTTGGCTCATTAAAGCAATTTTGTGCTGGTACCATGATATGTCCCTTCCTGCTAGTTTATCTCTAGTTTTAGCTTCGAGGACATAATACTTACAGTCTTGATATGTGATACCCTGCGTGCAGTTTGTCTCTCTCAGTGATGACGATCTACGGAATCCCTTATCGGTTCACTTCGTTGGGGAGGTGGGGCGGGACGATGGAGGTGTCACTCGGGATTGGTACAGTGTGTTGGCTAAAGAGATTTTCAATCCGCAATATGCACTATTTACTCACAGTGCAGTTGATGACTACACGTTCCAGATCAATCCTAATTCAGGAGTGAACCAAGATCATTTGGACTTTTTTCGATTTATTGGCACAATTGTTGGCAAGGCTCTCTATGATGGATGCCTTTTTGATGCCCATTTTACTAGACTTGTTTACAAACGTATTCTGGAGAAACCAGTCACTTATCACGACATGGCTTCAGTGGACGTGCAGTTTTACAAGAGTCTTTGCTGGGTATTTCCGCATTCCATGGTTTTTCAACTTATTTACCTTTCCCGTAACTTTTTAGTTTTTTGAACTGAAATTTGCACCATCCGGCTACTTCTTCCGTAGTCAATATGGATAAGGTCTACGATGTGTAATTTTGATAGAAAGGTTGATAGATTTGGCGTGGAATCCTGTCCGTGCTTGTTGGTATAGTTGTCTTGTCTGAAAGCGAAGGGAAATGTATTTATGGATTGCAGCTCCTTGAGAACAAATTGGAAGGAATGGACCTGGGATTGACTTTTTCAGTGGACACTGATAACTTTGGCGCATACGAAGAGATAGAGGTGTGTTTGGACGCCCTTTTTGACTCTGGTTGTTAGTCATGACTTGTAGTACCTTAGTACAGTTATGATCAGGTACACTCAGATGCAGACTAGGTCTTTCTCTCGGGAAATATATATATATAAATGATTTTGTGTATTTATGTCTAGTTATCGAGCTATCGACCTATCTAAAAGTTATTATTGTTGGTTGTAGCTTAAGAAAGGTGGAAAAGAACTGGTCGTAACAGAACAAAACAAGCGGGAGTATGTCGACCTATTGGCAAGCTGGCGTCTAAGAGGTTCACTTTTTTAAATCATATTCCTCTCATCCTTTAGGACGGAACAAATTTGGCCTCAGTTAAAATGCTAATACTTGATTGTATGATTTTATTTTTTCGTTCAAATCCTAAAAACTCAAAACAGTAGCCTTTTGTCAATATGCTAATTTGAAGAAGCTGTTGAGCACATGTATGGAATAGAATTTTGTCAATCGATAATCGCTTACCCTGTTTCTTTTTGCTTTGTGTTGCAGAGAGTGTTGAAATGCAGTTTCAGGCATTGCGGGCAGGGTTATCTCGAGTTGTCGATCCAGTTCTATTACAGGTTTGTGTGGATTGTTCAAAAAGTTGAACGCTGTTTATCTTAATTTAATTGATTAGTCAATACGAATCAATTATGAGCATTTGGTTCCATTAAAATTACTTCAGTGCTTCCTCGTGTCTACCCTGATGCTTTTCAGATAATAACTTCTACTAACTTGAATTTTCTCGTTGTTCTTCAGCACTTTGACGAGGCAGAGCTCGAGTGGCTAATTGGAGGGCTGCCAACTATCGATGCGGCTGATTGGTGAGTTTCTGCTTTAATCCAAACCTGATTTAGTCAATGCGGATTCAACTTATTGTATATTTGTTTGAACTTTGGCATTGACGAGGGATGAATTATGCATCGCTGTGCAGGAGGAAAAATACTGTATACAAGGCAGGATACAGCGATTCTCCGGATTGTCGTGTAATCAGAAGTTTCTGGGAGGTACTAGTTTATTTCTATGTACTTAAAGATCGTTTCAAAGAAATTTTGCGCAGCGGTTTTTGTTTGCAGATGATGAGAATGTAAATCCACAGATTCTTTATAATCGTTATTATTTTATTATCAGGGAACTGTTTGTCTAATGTCAGTTTGCTCTCTGTGATGCAGTTGGTTGAAACTTGGGACCAGGAAATGCGGGCCAGGCTTTTGCAGTTTGTTACTGGCACATCAAAGGTCAGATTGCATAAGTCCGTTATATTTTGAAGTCATGTTATATAGCATGAATAACTGCTTCGCTGTCCATATTCTCTCCCAAATTCTTTGTTCTAAATTTCTATGGAAGGATTTCGGCCTGTTCTAACAACTATTTTATGGGTCTGCTTGAGCAGGTGCCATATCCAGAAGGTTTCAAGGTACTGTTATTTATTTATTTATTTATTTTCCTTTCATTTTTTGAACCACGTTGGCATGTACGTTTTCGTAAAATAAGCATTGTATTTCTCAGTACATCGTCGCTAGTGCAATGAAATGTGGCAATAGTGTGGCTTTAGAGTTTGTTTTAAACGTGTAACTCATTTGACTCTGCAGGGGTTGCGAGGTAGTGAAGGTTTAAGAATGTTTCATATTGTTCGCGTGTCGGACTTTACAAGGTTGCCTCAGGTGAATATACCCACTTATGCAAATCCTGTAGCTGAGCTTTGTTAGTGGGTTTAAGTTAGTACTTTTTTGATGTTTCATTTCATTTCCATGTATTTGTGATTTTGAAAAAGGAAGATATCACGTCGAAAGTGAGCCTGCCGTGTCGTGGTGTAAATATGTTCGTCTTGGATGACAGCCGACCTTTCTCTCTTTAGTTCTCTTGGTTGCTTTCTCTACTTGCTAGTTCACCTTGAAGGTTGGGTTAAGACGTGTTATTATTGATCTTATTGTTTAAGTAAATTCTTCCGTTTTATGAAATCTGCAGGCGCACACATGCTTCAACGAACTCATACTTCCCGACTACGACTCTAAGGAAGAATTGCACAAGAACCTCATCACCGCCATATTTGAGACAGGAAATCAGTTTCAGCTTCGATAGTGTCTGTTCACGAAGTGCTCGCCCCAGATTTCAGTGAAGGATTTAAAAGTTGGCGCGATTTTATGTAGTGCACTGTGTGATGTTCACCTGCAGCTGGATTCAAGACATCCCGACAATGATCTCCAGCAATCTCCAGCTGGATTGAAGATGCCCTTAACAGCCAGCGACGAGAGGTTTGCGGTTAGTTTGGACTTTGTATGCTCTGCACCCGCGAGGGCTCCACTGCTCTCAACTGCTTCCTTCCTCTTTTCTCGTATTTACAAACATGTAGGCTGATAGACGAATTATAATGCCTGCAGGACGTCAAGTATGAGAGCTTTCACTAACAAGTCCTATTGTTGTGTTTGCAGTGGAGACTGCAAATCTATTGTCAGGTCCTATTGTTGTGTTCACATGCTAGGTCAGAATATGACAGGACTTGTCTTATGCCGAAGGAGACTTGTTTCGGAGGGTTTAGATGACAGTCACCACAACTCACCTTGTTCCTAATCCATCCATGTACATTGTCCGCCCAAAAGATTGATACAGTGTTTTTCTGCTCTTCCATATTTATTCTCCGGATTGTTCTTCCGGCTGTAGATTTGAGTGATTGGGAGGCACTTTACCAAGGTGTCACTCTTGAAAGCCATAAGCGTAGTGCTTGGCAGAATGTTAATGATGTTATGTTGAGACCTCCCTTCTCGAGACCAGCTGCACACCTTTGTCTTGTGGAGTAGATGGCAACCCAAAACTGTGAAGGTCAAATTTGCATTGCATGTCTTTGAAATGGATATGCAACATATGTCAAACTCCTGGTCAAGTCGGACAATGCAGCTGTTCAGTATTATTTTATCTTTTGATATTAGCATTTTAAACCCTACTTGTTTGTAGATGAAATGGACAATAGAAACGAAAATCCTAACACTCCACAATTCTCATCTTTGAACTTAATCTTGGACGATGTAATACATTCCAGTAATTTTACGAAACTTATATGTATCTCAATGCAGCCCTGAGAGCAATGTACTATCCTGTATCTAACATATCACAATGTGTACAACTTTTGATATGTAATAAAAATATACTTTGTTCTGGATCACTTTTTGTACTTCAAAATCTTATTTTTACAAGGATGAAACAAGGATGAAAAAATTAATACATGAATTTAAATCTGAAAGAAATGATACTCAGAGCAAAAATAAATGTACCTTTAATTTTTTATTAAGGTTGTATTTGTCAACCAATTGTTAGATATTTTTTTGGTTTCTTAATTTAATTTTTGTTGTAATTCTTAAAATAAGCAAATATATACTCATTCAAGTACAGCTTACTTGATAACAAAAACTTGTTAGAATTCAAAATGACTTAGCATAATTTTTTTGTTTTGTTCTTTGCTTTGATATTCATTTTTAATAATTATTATTTTCAGATGTCAGCAATTAGGTTATTATTTTGAGATAGTAATAGTTTTTGTTTTAGTAAAAGACAAAAACTTAAATCCACAACTAATTATCATTTTTAGAAGATGAGGATTTCATTTTCAGGATTATATTCAAGGTATTATCTTTTTTTTTTTTTTTTTTTTTTTTTTTTTTTCATTTGATTCTACTCTCTTGTTCTTTTGAACAACTTTCATGAAGATTGATTATAACTTTTACAAGACTTGTTTTTTTTGAGAATAACCTCATTATATTTTTAAAATTACAAATAATTTTTTTAATCAATACCTACATATTTTTTGTACTGTTGTAGCTATTTTAGACTTGAATAAAATTTACAATATTAATGTTTTATTCATATATTTAATTATATTATTATAGGATATTTTTTAGTATATATAGAATTTTAATTTTTGAAGCTGTCCAGCTGCAGGTGAACATCACACATATACTGTAATTAAATTGAGTTAAATTATGTGACTACATGCTAATTTAAGGTATATCAGAAATTTTGTTCCATAAATTTAAATTAATATATTATTAAATTCAAGAATTATCAATATATATATATATATATATATATATATATTTATTGGTACACTTACTAGATATTCAAATAATTTTCATGTGCATATATAGATACTATATTGTAGCCTATGTACAACATGTTTCAATATGTTTCAACAAAGCCTCAAATTTTAAATTTCTTCTACTTCAAATTTGCTTCCATAAAAAATAATAGTATTTTGATTCTTCAAAATAAATTGTATGTAAAAAAAATATAGAAATGTGAAACAACTATCTTATATTCTCTCAACAACAAAGACCACACTTTTCACATACTGCTTGATGAATTCTAAGCTAGGATCAAGGAAATATATGAAGTTGAATTTACTACTACAATCTAAGGGTAGTAAATGACCCGATTTACTAGTGGTTGTGTTTTGAGCTATATCTTGAGCAATTTGTATATCAATAGAATATCTTTTAATACTATTGTATTCATTTGGCTTCTATAATAAGAATACATTAGTTATTGAAACTTGTTCAATAAATTAAAGCTAAATTTTCTACAGCTAAGTACCTAGTATGTCTCCAAATAGAAAATCACAACATATAATATTGTGCATATAAATCAAAAGAACCTTAAATACTTCATGTCAATGTGGGTTTTGAATTGTCACCAAATTTATTAGAGCATGTCATTATCAAGATTTGATTTTAAGATTATATAACAATTTAAAAAATAATAAGATTTATTGGATGGACTTAGTGGACGTTCTTAACTTACACCAAAAGAAATAAATGTAGTTTTTGATCAATAAAGAATGATCATTTTGAAGCTTAAGTAATTTCATCTTTTAGCAATAAAATCAATAATGACTATTGATTTAATTTTAATCAAAAAAATTCAATCAAATATGTCTTTTAATTTTTTTGTTTATGATATGAAGAATACTTCTTTTAAGACTTATGATACTTCCAACCTAATCTATTTTGAAGGTCACATATATATTCTATATAAAAAAACATGTTTATTTGTTTTTCAAGCATGTCACAACTTTCCAATGGTAGGACATTTTGGATACAACAAGACTTTGGAGCTTATATCTAGAGATTTTCAGTGGTCCCAAACGTAGAAGGCTATGAAAGACTTTATACAATCATGTGACATTTATTTAAGATCAAAAACTTTTCGTCATTGATCCTATAGACTTTTCTAATTATTGCCTATACCAGAACAACCATGGTCTTTTATTTCTATGGATTTTATTATGGATCTTTAAAGTTCAAGTTCATATGAGTTTATATTTGTAATTGTAGATTGCTTCACCAAAATAGTACATTTTGTATAATATACAAAATCTATTTCAAGTCAAAAAAGAGCTAAGCTTTTCATTGACAATATTTATCGCTATCATGGATTGCCAAAAGATATTATATCAGATAGAGGGATACAATTTATATTCATATTTTAAAAAATTCTTTTTAAGATATTGAAGGTAGATATAAAATTATCAACAACCTTTCATCCTCAAACTAATGGACAAATAGAACAAGTGAATTAAGTTTTGGAGCAATATTTGAGATGTGCCATCAACTATTATGAAGATGATTAGACAATTCTTTTGTCATTAATAGAGTTTGCATACAATAATTTGATAAATTTTTCTATTCAATAAACATCTTTCTTTATAAATTATAGTTATTATCTACGACTTGATATTTTTGACTTTTCCAAAGTTGATAATTGTGTAGCAAAAGATTTTGTAAATCGTTTATTAGAGTTACATGCAACAATAAAAGCACAATTAAAAGAAGCTTAAGAATGATAAAAGAACAATATGGATGTCTATTGCAAAGAACAACTGCAATTCAATATGAGTGACAAGGTATGATTACTTCATAGCAATATCAAGACTATTCATCTTTGTGATAAGTTGGATTATCATAGACTTGAACCTTTTCCTATTTGTGAATAAGTCAATTCTATTGCTTATTGATTATATCTACCAAAGTCTATGAAGATCCATCTTATATTGTATAAATCTCTTCTTGAACCATATAAGACAATAAATATCTCAAGAACACAAATGATGTCTCTTCTTTTAAAAATGAATAATAACCAAGAATTTAAAATAGAAGAAGTCTTAAATTGAAGGAGGCAATGAAATAGATTAAATATCTTATTCATTAGCATGAATATGATATTAATGAATGCACATGGGAGCCAACAAAGAATTTTGTAAATGTAGCATAGAAAGTTGAAGCTTTTTATTGATGACATCTATCAAAACCAAGATAAAGAAAAGTAAGTTACATGAAAGATAATGACCGCTCTTCATAGAAATCATTTCTAGAAAGAGAGTTATGTCATAGACATACATATTTATTCCAATAATTATCTGTATGATTAAATAGAAGTATGTAAAAATAAATTAATTTCATAATATCTTCAAGAAAAGCTTCATAGAGGCTTCATAGACATGATTTTGACTTTACACATGTTTATAGTTGATTAATAGACTAGAAACTTATTCAAAAAGTTAAATATGTGTCACATGTGTTGATAGTTTGTGAAACAAGCTAACTATGTGGCATACATATAAAAAACTTTCCTTGGAAATTAAGTTATGTGTCTTATAAAGTAAAAACGTATTAAAGGTCTTATAAAACATTGCCATATAGCTCCTGATTAGATAGTATATATGAGAGCAAGAGTAAAGTCTTCTCTACTCTTATCAACACCATTCTAGTCTTTAGTCTTATTTCAAGACATTTCAGTCTTCTTATCTTTGGCAATAGCCATTCTAATTTAATATATTACCATCTTTGAGTAATTATCTAGTCTATTTGAATGACAAAAGAGTGTCTTGATCTTTCTATTCTTCCAAATTCATGTCCTTAACAAATTCCTTTGAATGAAAGATATTATTTCACCATATCTAGTTGCAACTATAAACTTTGTATTATCCGCTCTCACTTTGACATCCCACAGGTTTTAATTCTGCTGCACATGCCATTTTGTTTGGGCTTTCCATGCTTTTCTAAATTTTTCAGGCACATTCAGATTTTCGTTCCATGACAAGTATTGATGAAATGGAAGTAAGGGGTTTTCAGTGCTATGCCGGCACCCCCCCTCCCTCTCTTCCTAGCAGTCACCTCTAACACGTTTTTGGCTCCGGGTCGATAGGAAGAGACCCTAAACTTCTGATCGGAGGAGAGCTTGGCTCGGGGCTGCTCACATGAGCAGAAGAATCCCCACTGGGTGGTGTGTTTCTACGATGTCGTATTGTCACGATGTATCAGATTGTCGAAGCCTTGCTGTTGATGACATGCTGTCTCTGTTCTTAACGAGGATCGCTTCCTGGCTCCTTGTAATTCCTGCTCTCACTATGCCCCACCCCCTGCACTTGGTCACTCTGTCTTTAGTTTTTTATTTTATTTTATTCTGTTTTATTTTTTGCATTATCCGTTACTAACCTTGTGCAAAATGTTTACATTCGTCTTTTCATCGGGATCGTTTTTATTCTTTCTCCTCTTCTCATATAGATGTGAGTAGTGTGCACTCTGACATTTCATGGAGTTTTGGTTCGGCAGATGGCTTTGGTATGACCGACATAGGAAGTGGGAGGGTGTCACCATTCAAGGGTCAGTTGTGCACGCTGTGCAGTATTTGCGAGGTGATAATTACAGAACCTTTCTTCCTCTGCCGTTTGGCGATGGGGTTTAGGGCTGTCTAGAGAATATTGCTGAGCAATGGGGTA